AAACAAAGGAGGAGGATGCAATGCTTGATAAGAAATGTACGCATTATCCTGCCCATGTAATTGTAACCCCTCTGTACAGTATGTTCACAAAAAAAATTAAATTAAAAAAAGAAAACAGAAGTAGCTTATTTTCTAACAGAAGAAAGAAAATAAACATAAGGAAGTAAACAAATATATAAAGGTATCTTTAAAAATCAATGATAGCAGATAAGAGACAAATGGTGCATGTTCTCCTTGATATGTGGAAGATCTAAAATGCACCGGGATATGACAAATTATGCAGGATTCTAAATACTCACATACAGTGAGACCTAAAGAGGACAGTCTGAGGAGAGAATTACAAATGTGCAATGCCTAAGTGCCTTTTCATCTTTACAGAAAATACAAATTCAAAGACATGAAAACAAAATATTTTTTAAAATTTGATTTTTCTTTGTGTGATGACCGTATTCTTTACCTTATATATAGTGTATTCACATGCACATCTGTGGGAGGGTGGAAGGAGGGCACAGAATCCGAGGAAAAAGGGTGAAAAAGTGCAGCAGTGGAGTGCACTGATGAAAGTAAACTGTACAACTTGAGGGTGGAGATGGGAGGGAGAGAATGCGAGAGAAGGAGGGAACAGATGACACTGTACAAAAGGAAATGTATCCTTTACCTGATGCATATAAATGTAACCCCTCTGTAGAGAACCTCTATAATAACAGTAATGTAAAGTCTAAAAAAAAATTAATGAGAGGCTGGGAAGGTGGCTCAGTGGTAGAGCGCTTGTCTTGCATGCTCAAGGCTCTGGGTTCAATTCCTCAGCACCACATAAGCAAAAAGAAAAAAGCCAGAAGTGGCGCTGTGGCTCAAGTGGTAGAGCGTTAGCCTTGAGCTGAAGGACAGCGCCCATGCCCAGAGTTCAGGCCCCACGACTGGACCCCCCCCCAAAATTAATAAGATCTTTGAAGAAAATAAAGCAAGAATTATAGGCATGAGCTACCAGTGCTCGGCTCCAAACATTTTTCTTTTTTTAACTTACTTTTATTGTCAAGGTGATATACAGAGGGGTTACAGTTACATATGTAAGGTAATTAGTACATTTGTTTCTTTTTTTTTTTTTTTTTGGGTCCAGTCATGGGGCCTGAACTCTGGGCCTGGGCGCTGTCCCTCAGCTCTTCAACTCAAGGCTAGCGCTCTACCACTTGAGCCACAGCGCCACTTCCGGCTTTTTTCTTTTTGCTTATGTGGTGCTGAGGAATCGAACCCAGGGCCTCAAGCATACAAGGCAAGCGCTCTACCACTGAGCCACCTTCCCAGCCCAATTAGTACATTTCTTGTTGAACAGTGTTACCCCTCCCTTGTTTTTCTCCCAATTTTCCTCCCACTAGTTATAAAATTCATTTCCAACATACTGTCTTGTGTCATTTATCTCACCATTTTGTTGTTCCCTTTCTCTACCCCAAATCAGATAAATGTATATATAAGACACAGGGTACCAAAATTAAATACAGTGATAACAGGGGATAAACCAAAGGTAAAGAAAGAACGAAAGAACTTGGCACAGTACATTTAAAAACAACAACAACAAAGAAAAACCTCTTGTTTCCATATCTTGGAGTTCATTTTGATTAGCATCATCTTATATGGTCATATGTACATAGCTATTGAGTTATTATGATCATCTGCTGGGACTATCCTAGACACATACTAATTAGCACAAATGAGGGAAACCATGCAGTCTATGTTTCTTTGGGTCTGGCTTACTTCACTTAATATGATTTTTTTCCCCAAGTCTTTCTATTTCCTTATGAATGGGGTGATGTCACCCTGCATCAGAATCAATTCCAAATGGATCAAAGACCTCGAGGTAAGAATAGATACCCTGAAAACATTACAGGAAGGAATAGGAGAAACACTAGGGTTCCTTGGCACAGGTCAAAACTTTCTTAACAAAGACCCAGAAACACAGCAAATCAAAGAAAGATTGGACAAAGAGGATTGCATTAAACTTCAGAGCTTCTGCAGGGCAAAGGACATAGCTAGAAAGCTAAAAGCCTATAGATTGGGAGAAGATGTTCACTAGCCTTATAACAGACAAGGACCTCATATCTAAAATACACTTAGAGCTCAAAAAATTACCACTGCCCCAAAAAACAAATCCTTAAAGAAGCAAGCACCCCATTAGCAAGTGGGCCAAAGACTTAAAGAGAGACTTCTCTGAAAAGGAAATAAGAATGCTCAAAAGACACATGAAGAAATGTTCAACATCTCTGGCCATAAAAGAAATGTGAATCAAAACAATATTAAAATTCCACCTCATCCCAGTTAGAATGTCTATAATCAAGAAAACTAATAAAAACAGATGCTGGAGAGGATGTGGCCAAAAGGGAATGTAATTACACTGTTGGTGGGAGTATAAACTTGTTCAACATTCTGGAAAGCAGTATGGAGGTTCCTCAAAAGACTAAACATTTTTATTAATAAATGATTGATGCTTAACATTCTTATTTTAAAAAGAATAGTCATTACATACCTGTAGCACATCACCTAGGTCTGCTGTGCTGATATCTGGATCCTCTGTGGTGTTGAAGGGCACAGGAGTTATTCTTACCAGGGTAAGCACTCGAGGTTCTGGATATCTCCATAACATCATCCCTGGGCTATCTTCTGTTTCATTATAAAACAAGACTTCATAGACACCAGGCAGCTTCAGAGGTTCTAACAAAGGAGAATATAATTAATCGCATACTTTCAAAAGTGAACATGTTCATTGCTTAGAGCAAGAATAACATCTAGTTTATCATTTTTTATAACGAGACAAAAACAATTTAAGAATTTCTCTTAGACTAAATTGTAACATAATATTTTTGAACTGCAAATACAAGCTTTTCAAGTGATCTTGATATGCTATCATTTAGAGGACATAAATTTGCTAACACAAATATACATATACAAATAGCTGGTACTTACCAGCATCTTGTATATACTGGAAGAGACCTGTTCGTAGGTCGTCTGAACTTTGCTCACTTTTAAAGTTCTGATTTTTTTCCACAGAAGATGGCATTTGAGATGCTGGTTCACAAACTTGTACTTCAAAGTTTCCCTCCTCATTAAGATATCCACTGAACAATTCATGTAGAAGAACTAAACAATTCAAATGTTCTTGACCCCAAAAGACCTTTAAAACAAAATGAAAATTTCTGGTGGTCTTTAAATATGAATATTTCTTGAGTACAATTAGGTACAATCATATCTGAATTAACAAGAAACTATAATTATGTTCAGTTTACTTACTGATAACAAACTAAAGTTCTAATATGTAATAACATAGGATATTAATTGCAGTATACATTGTGTGACTAACAATAACTTTTAAATGTTCTATTGGTGATGAAATAACACTGATGTGAAGTAATATATGAATTCATTTAGCTAAAAGGACAAAAAGCATATGTTAAAATCCATGATTAACAAAAGTAGATCTTCAAGGCCAAATGCTAATAAATAATCTTAAATATGAGGTTCATTTCTTCTCACTTTTACTCTTCAGAGACAGAGAAAAAGAACCTGCTTCATGGACTTGATATTAGAAGGCTACCAGCTTCTGGGCTTAGTGAGAAAGTACAAACACACAGGATTCCTTGGCCCCTTCCTGCAATCACCTCTTTAAAAAGCTTTCAGAACACAAGGGTACAAGGACATAGACTTTCTTTGAATGGAATTAAGTTTTATTTTCCTGCTATTAAGCAATATATTGTAACAGATGTATGACCAAACATATCATAATGATTAACATTAGAGGAGTAAAATTTTTAAAAATGTGAATTTGTCTGAATATATTGAGTGAAAGCCACAAAACTACTAATTCTAGGGGAGCTAGTCAATACTGAAAAGAAAAAGACATATATGACAGTATTAAAGAGTAATCTTACTCCTGGAAGTTTTGAATCCTTGGCCTAATTTCTGCTTTCCAGAATTACAGCATTCTAGAAATCAAACAAAAAATTATAGTACTAATTCTACTTTGAGTCTCATCAACATTATCTTTATTGGATGCTAAGACACAATAGATGAAAAGTCTACATGGGTAGTCTAACACTATACATTCCAGCCTTTCAGTTGTTAAGGGATAGTCAGTAACTACACGATATATGCTGTTTTTTTTTTTTTGTCAATCATGTGACTGGAACTCTAGGCCTGGGTGCTGTCCCTCAGCTCTTCAGCTCATGCCACAGGCTCTATCACTTGAGCCACAGCAACACTTCTGGTTTTCTGGTGGTTTATTGGAGATAAGAGTCTCATAGACTTTCTTGTCTGAGCTGCCTTTGAACCATGATCCTCAGATCTCAGCCTCTTTAGTAGCTAGGAGTACAGGCACCAGGCTTCTTATTGTTATGTTTAATGTGTGGTTATTCTGCTGTTTTGAAAAAGTGGTAATACAACTAATATTCTCCATAAAGCAACACACACAAAATCATATGCTTCTTACTAAATAGAAACTGAAAGTCTCAAAAACAACATAGAGCTCTATGTTAGGATACTAGTGAAAAGTTGAGGTGATTTAGTTGAAAATAAGGAATTTACATTTAATATGCCTCCTTTATGGATGAGTTGGTCATTTCAATTTTCCATCATTGTAAATCTCATAAGCTTTCAGAATTCATATCAAGTTGGCAGGAAATCAAATCATGCAAGATTAGATTCAAATCTATATTAATGTTATAAAGAAATAAGGTATATACTCTCACACATTCCATACTTGGCTATAAGGCAAATTTGTAAGAGGATATAATGTGACATAATCAGACATTATAATACCAAAGGCTTGATACCACTAAAAGGTTATTATATATTGCCAGTGACACTGCTTGAGCAAGGTCAATTATTTGCAATTAGAAAACATTAAGAACAACTGGACCCAGCATTCCCATTCCTAGCTATATAGGCAGGAGAATATGCTGCACAAAAATTTGCATGCAGGGGCTGGGAAGGTGACTCAGTGGTAGAGTGTTTGCCTTGCATGCATAAGGCCCTGGGTTTAATTCCTCAGTACTACATAAGCAGAAAAGGCCGGAAGTGGCACTGTGGCTCAAGTGGTAGGCTGCTAGCCTTGAGCTGAAGAGCTGAGGGGCAGCACCCAGGCCCAGACTTCAGCCCCATGACAGACCAAAACAAAACAAAACAACTTGCATGCAAATGTCCATAGTAGCATTAATCATAACAGAAAGAAGAAGATGCTAAATGTCCCTCATCTGATGAATGAGTGATAAAGAAAATGTTTAAAAAATACTGTGGTAATGATCACACAACTCTGAATATACTCATACAAAGCAATAAAGAATATTCTCAACAGATGTATTGTATGGTATATAAATTATACTTCAATAATATGGCTAAAATTTTAGTAATACAGCAATATGACAATACCCTTTTTTACTACATAAAGATTTAAAAGTTAGTGGGACAATTAAAAAATAAGGGTTATTTAAAAACTTATTGGAAAAAATATGGTCAATCCCTACAGACCTGGAGCAGACCACCTCTTAAATCGATGGATATTTTTGGTATGGATTGTTCTGGGCCTGGATTGCTACTGTGTTTACACCATTTGGCCTCCAGACTGGAAGTTGCACAAAATGGTCCTATCAGACTCCGACTTCTTTCTCTGAGACTTGTTTTAAGGAGAAAATCATTTATGTCGAGTAGAAATGACACTCCAAGAATTACACCTAAGAAAGAAAAAACAGAGAGGGGTGTATAATTCGTCCTTCACCAAAAAAAGTTTTGGAGGCATTATTTTTAAAGAGTGTTAACTGACTCTTTGTCAGTCTTTTTCAGTTAGCTTTCTACCAGTTTCATGCCATTTATACAGAACTCTGCTCATGAAGCAAGCATACCTCATTCACATCCCTAACAAAGCAATATTTGCCAAAACATTATGACTTTTTCCATGTGTGAGCATTTAAAATTTTATGAGTAGAGGCATTTTCATTAAATTGTGCAAGTTTTTCAAGCAACTACATTAAGAACAAGAACAGCTGCTTCATTTGTCTTTTGTTAACATGATGTGAAAGGGTAATTTTCTATGATTTCTTACCACGAATATAGTACAGTATATTACTTTACTAGATACTCAAAGTTTTTGACTAGCCTATGGTAAAATTCAAATCAATCAAAATATATAACATGTGTTTTGTAAAAAAAATTTAGTTTAATCCAAACTTCACACATCATAACCACTTGAAGTTTACAAAGTCTTAAAAACAGATAGTGGCAGGTTAGATTTATGAGGAAAACTATATGCTATAGTTCAAAGTAAATATAACCAGAAAAGGAATACACTTTAAAATGAAGGTTTTCTTTTGAACTTAAAGTAAGATTGTGGATCAAAACCTTTTCATAAAAGCAACAGCACATTTAAAGATATTTAGATGGAGTTAAGAATGGTGAGTCCACTTTCCTCCCAAGAAGCTCATATTCTAAATTGTCATTGTGAATATTGAATTTCAGCAGACCACATTTGTAATGCTCAGAGCTTATTTTTCTAATGCTATTTGAGCCTTCAAAAAGATGAAAGATTAAAAAACACCTTAGACCCACAGTAAACACATGTTTTAAAGTAATACCCACATTGACTTTTCAATTCTGTGGAGATTTGAAAAGTGCATATATGTTGAATGTTCTAGAGCAGAAATAAGCTATACAACTTTTAATCATCCACAGAAGGGAGGATTGATCCTCCCAATATCTGCAAAACTGCTAGCACTGATTTTTATTTTAAAAATTATGATAGAAATTCATTTTTGTCATGGAAATCAATTTGTGTCACTGAAACTGCCACTTTACTTCTACAATTAATTCAAAGGTAAGTTTCATTTAATTACAGAAGTGACCACCACCACAGATAAGCTAAAAAAAAATCAAAACATACCTTTATTAATGGAGTCTTTCACCTATGTCATAACTCCCTACACCAGTGCATTAGAATTCCTGTTAACCAGTAAATATTTGCTAAACAAAAAATACTAATTCATCCTAGAAATTATAATAATGGTATTACAAAAACAGGCTTAATTCAGTATAACTATGTAGAAAATGATAATTTTCTAGATTCCCCCCCACACACCCTTTTTTGTGCCTGTGCTTGGGCTTGAACTCATGGCCTTATGTTCTTACTCAGCTTCTTTGCTCACAACTGACACTCTACTCCTTGAACCATGCCTCCAGTCCAGTATTTTGGTAGTTAATTAGAGATGGAGTGTCTAACATTTTTCTTTTTAGGCTGGCTTTGAACACAATCCTACAGATCACAGCCTTCTTAGAAGCTAAGATTACAGGCATAAACCACTAGTGCCTCTTCCTCCCCTTCTTCCCTTCTTTTCTCCTCTCCTTCCTTCCTTCCTTCCTTCGTCTTTTTTGTCTTTCTTTTCTTTCTCCCTCTTTTGACCTCCCCCCTCCTTGCCCTCTCTTTTTCAGCCCTAGGGATAGCTTTGTATATGCTAAGAAAACACTCTCTCTCCAGAGCCGCATTTGAGCCCTTTTGTTTGAATTTTGCTTCTAAGATCATGTTTCATTGCCCACACACCTTAAACTTTTGACACTCCCCCCCCATCTCTTCTTCTGAGAAGCTGGAATGACAGGCATGTGTCAATCATATCCAGATAAAAATGTTCTATTTTGAAATAACTTTGGATTTATATAAAAGTAGAAAAAATACTGTGTTCTCATATGCCCTTCACGTAGCTATGTGACTAGAAAAGAAACGGTGCAATCATGCTGATATGCCATCTCTGTCCATTGATTTATATCTGTATGTTTATATGCACACACATACACATATATATGTATGTGTATGTCTCTATATATATAACACATATTACTGTTAAGTAAAAATCTTTGAGACTTTTGAATAGTCCACTTCAATTAGTCTGCAAAGCCTTTGTCAATTTGGGTTTATCTGATGCTTTCTCATGAGTAAAATAAAGTTATGTATTTTTGGCAAGGGTACCAAAACAGTAATTCTCTTAATTCATAACAATGGGGTGTGGGATGCTGTTGTTTTATTGCTTGTAATATTTTATACTGTAAAGTTACTATTTTTCTTCAATAAATAATAAACTCCTTAGGGGTGTGTGTGTGTTTGTCAGGGAGAGAGAGAAAGAGAGAGAGAGAGAGAGAGAGAGAGAGAGAGAGAGAGAATATCTTTGGAGATTAAGCCAAATAGTCTAATTTTCACCAAACTTTAACCCATTAATGTTAGCAGTTACGTGTGATAATGATGGCTTCCTATTTTTCTTATCAGAACTGTGGATCAACCTCACTTACTAGTTCTACTACTTATTTATATTAGTTTAGGATCTTAAATATTCATTTATGAGTCATACTCCAATGCTATCATTATTTACTTTGCTTCTTAAACATTACTAGAAGTAAACATTTCTGTTGCCTTTGGACACTGGTGGCCCATGCCTGTAATACTAGTTACTCAGAAGGCCAAGATCAGAGGACTGATATTCAAAGCAAGCCTGGGAGGAAAGTCTGTGACACTCTTATCTCCAATTAAACACCCAAAAAGATGGACATGGAGCTGTAGCTCAAGTGGTAGAGTGCCAGCCTTGAGAAACAAAGCTGGCCTAGATTTCAAGCCCCAGTACTAGTACTCCCCCTCCCCCCAAAAAAAGAAAAGGAAAGAAAGGAAGAAAGAAAAAAAGAAAGAAAAGAAAGAAACCCAAAACAACAACAACAAAAACCAGGTATAGGGCTTCACTTGTTATCTGAAGCACACTGATAAATGAAATTACTTTTTTCATTCTATCAGTGTTTATCTATAAAATAATATTTGTAAACATATGATAAAAGCTGTTCTCGATAAAACTTATACATGCAAATTGTTTTTACTTGTTTCTACTATGTAGAAAGTACTTCAAAATACTCACAATACACTAGCTAAATTAGTTTGAGGTTTTTCTCTAAAAATCAAGTACCAAAATGATAAAATTATAGAATTGAATTTTTACTATAACAAATAAATAATTCTTGACAACCTTTGTGATCCTGTAAGCAGTACTGAACTCATGAACATTTCTTCCTTGTCATACAGTTTTGTTTTTTGGCTTGGGCAGAGAGAAGGGAAACTGGAAATCTCAGGAGACTAAACATAGTTCTGCATTACTATAGCAAGATATCAAATATAATCAACTTATAAAAATAAATGATTTATCTAGGCTTAGACTTGGAGGTTCTAGACTGCTTAGCCTCATTCTTTTGGCCCTATGGTGGGCAGCACATCATAGTGGGAGCAAATTGTGAAGCAAAACTGCTCTCATAAACAACAAGCAAAGATATGAGCAAGAGATTGGGAATTCATGATTCCCTTTAAAATCATGATCCTATGACTTATACACATTTCACAAGGCCATAGATCCTAAAGATCCACTTTACAATAGTGTCATGCTGGGGACTAAACCTTTAACCAACATAGACTTGGGAGACATTCAAACTAAGGCAGGTAGGAGCTGCAATCTTTGGGAAAGTGGCATAGAATTAGGTAGAACTTTGGGAGTTTGGAACAAGAAGAAGGAAGCGGGCCAGCTTCAAGTGAGCAAGGAGGGCAGGAAGATGCACAAGATTCAGAGAGCTTGCAACTGAGCTACCCATGGATGGGCATGAGATTCAAGAAAAACTTTTGGGAAATAGATATTTCTTTCTCCTTGGTCTTCCTTGTCCTGCTAGAAGCTACCAAGTAGAGCTTGAGGCTGATGCTAGTAACACATAAAGAGAGCCCTAACGGCTTCTGCCATGCCTAACAACAGGTTTTCACCGTAACTGCTCAACCCATTTGAGGTGTTTTATGGCCACTTGAAACCCAAAGTGTGCCAAATGATTCACACCTGCCAAGATATGAGCCCTGTCTCCTTCCCCACACCTTTCTCCTCCTTTCTCTTAGGTTTCTCTTTCACTCTTTTTTTTTTTCCATTCTTTTTTTTTTTTTTTGGTGGGTTTGAACCCAGGGCCTTGCTGTGTGCTCACTAGAGAGGCATCCTCCCACCTGAGCTATGACATCAGCCCTTTGTGCTTTAGTTATTTTTAAGGTAGGGCCCATCATGAATCACCAAACCTGACTTGCTTGTTGACATGGGGTCTCTAAAATTTTACCTGAAATGTCCACATTTCCAGCTCAGGTATTTTGCGGGTTTATTAGGGATAGATTCTTGCCAACTTTTTTGCTTGGGCTGGCTTTGAAACACCCTCCTCACGACTCAGCCTCGTGAGTAGATACTACTATTACAGGTATGATCCCCTGGTCATCCAGTTGTTTTTTTATTTTTTTTTTCCATGCCAGTCCTGGGGCTTGAACTCAAGGTCTGGGTGCTGTCCCTGAGCTTTTGTGCTAAGGCTAGCACTCTAACACGAGTAATAGCTCCACTTCTGGCTTTTTGGTGGTTAATTGAAAAGTTTCACAAATTTTCCTGCCTGCACTGTCTTTGAACCGTGATACTTAGATCACAGCTGACTGAGTAACTAGAATGATAAGTGTGAGCTACCCCTGCTTGTTTTTTTTTCCTTTTTTTAATGCTTCTATCCTGGCCTTTTTTTTTTTTTTTTTTT